TTTTTTTTTTTTTTGGTTGCAGCTGTCATTGTTGTTTTGGCAGGCCCGGGCTGGATTCGAACCCGCCACCTTAGGTGTATGTGGCTTAGCCACTTGAGCCACAGGCGCTGAGCCAAAATATCTGAACTTTAAAGTTGTATGGGTAGTGGTTGAAATGATCCCAGTTTGTTACCTGTTTACCCAGCAGCAGCTAAGGTGTGCTGGCCCTGTGCCAGGCTTGCAGGGATCCTCTGTGATGTTCTGAGTCAGTCACGCAGATGATGCTGTGGACAGACACGTGCTTAATGAAGGTGTTTGTGTGATGCACACTTTGATTTCTCTTTGCATGAAAACATGAAGCCTTTGCTATCAGTTAAACAGAAAGGAAAGGGCTGGAGCAGCCCTCAGCTGTGTTTGGGATTGCTCTGAGTTGGGGAGGGGACGGTTCCTGCATGGGGCTGGGACTGTTCTCTACAGGGCAGGTCATAGGAATTGTTGGGCTTTTGCCTTTGCTTTTAAATGTAGCCACTTGCTTGAGAGCCATCTTTCTTTGAGGGACATTCCAAAGGTCATAAGGGAGGAATGTTGATGGGTCTGATTGGTGGACATGGGGGTGGGGGCTTGTTGACTTATTCACTTTCACAGCACCAGGCAGGCTTGGACATGCCACTTGTCATGCTTCAGATGCTTTGGGCGTGTTTTTGGGTCTGGGGCCCATCAACTTGGTAGTTCTGAAGAGAGTGCTGAGGGACCAAATACCCACCTGCTCCCTAGCCAGCTAAAGCCCAATGTGGTACACATTTTGGCTGGAGTCCTGCTCAGTTGCTTGTTCAGTAATATTTTGTTACTCATCTGCCTTGTCAGGGTGCTGGGAAGAGGCAGCACAGTGGTCAAAGCATTCTGTTAACTTGGCAGATATCTGTGCACCTGCTAAGTGCTGAGATCAGCTAGTGTGGCCCTCATGGGGTAGGTGACACAGGTGAGCCAGAGAGTTACTGTATGTTAGGTAAATACTAAGATGGGAGACATACAGAGTGCTGTGGGTGCACAGATGAGGGAGGGAGACCTAACTCAGGTTGGGGGATGTGGTCAGGGAAGGCTTCCTGGGTGCAGTGCTGTTTAAGCTACACCCAAGGCCAAGTGGGAATGAGCCAGACCACTGCAAGGTAGTACGTCGTTCTTCAGAGGGCGATGAGGGGGGTTGGACAGCAGTGAGCCAAGCCAGAGGGGCAAGGAAGCTGGTGAGTTTGGGGCCATAGTGAGGTGGTGTGGGACTGGAGGTGGCAAGAGACAAAGCTGCCGAGGCCAGCAGCTCCAGGTCAGGTGGGGCCCCATGAAAGGATGTGGTGTATTCGGAAGCCCAGACTCCTGAGGTGGTTCAAATCCTGGCCCTGCCATTTACTAACTCTGCCATGTAAACAACAAGGATTAGATAAGAGACTGTTTAAAAAGTGACTAGAACAGCACCTGACATGTAGTGAGAATTTTGTACTTGTTAAGAAAACATACACAAATAAAGAATGGCAGTTAACATTCAGGCACTCATCTCCTACCAGCCTTCATTCTTAGCACTTTGTGTCGGGACTCATTTGATCCTCACTTGGTCATGTGAAGCACACACTGTTGTTACTTACATTTTATGGCTGAGGAAGCTGAGACCCAGAAAGGTTCCTTTGCCTGAGTTCACAGAGCTAGGGAGTGGTGAGAACCAGCATCAGAACCCAGGCAATCTTGCCTGGAGCCACTTTCCTAACTGTTACACTGTGAAGCCACAGGGGATCTGGAACTTCAGCCCACCAACATCAGGGAGCCAGGGAAGGAGACTGATTGCAGTGAGCAAGGCTGGTGGTCTGGCCCCCCCACCACGAAGCTCCTTTGACCTGTGGTGACCCATTTTCCATCTCCACCTCCAGACACCTACAGGAATGCGGAACTGGACCCGGTTACAACAGAGGAACAGGTTCTGGATGTTAAAGGTTACCTGTCCAAAGTGAGGGGCATCAGCGAGGTGCTGGCCCGGCGGCACATGAAAGTGGCTTTCTTTGGCCGGTAAGTTGGTCCTTCCTGGCAGGTCGGAGGGGAGTGCTTTGTGCAGGAAGTCAGAGCCCCCAAGGCAGGGAGCTGTTGCATGCTTCAGAGTTCCTCACTTTTATTTTTATTTTTTATTTTTTATTTTTATTTATTTAGTTATATATATTTTTTTGAGATAGAGCCTCAAGCTGTCGCCCTGGGTAGAGTGCGGTGGCATCACAGCTCATATCAACCTCAAACTCTTGGGCTTAAGCAATTCTCTTGCCTCAGCCTCCCAAGTAGCTGGGACTACAGGTGCCCACCACAACGCCTGGCTATTTTTTGGTTGTAGTTGTCGTTGTTTAGCTGGCCCAGCCCGGTTTCAAACCTGCTAGCCTCAGTGTATATGGCTGGCGCTGTAACCACTGTGCTACGGACACCGAGCTGCATCTGGATTACATAAGGGGCAGGGTGAGTGTCTGTGTGGCCTGAAGAAATGAACCAGGGGCACATCACAGGCTCAGGCCCAGAGACGTCTGTCTGTATATTTTAGTAAACACAGAGCACCTATTGTATGCTTCTCAGCTACCTCTGGGCACTGGTGACAATGCAGAGAACAGAACTTTGGCCTTTCAGGCTGGTGACTACATTCGGAAAACCAAAACCACTAATATTGATGGACTGCTGTTATTTCCTTGTAGGACGAGCAATGGGAAGAGCACCGTGATCAATGCCATGCTCTGGGACAAAGTTCTGCCCTCTGGGATCGGCCACACCACCAATTGCTTCCTGCGGGTGGAGGGGACAGATGGCCATGAAGCCTTCCTCCTCACTGAGGGCTCAGAGGAGAAGAGAAGTGTCAAGGTGAGGGTGCTGGCCTTGCTGTCAGCCCTGGGCACCCTGGCAGGGCAACTTGTCCACTGTGACAGGGTTCACCCTACCTCTAAGGAGAGGGCATAGCCTCCCTGTGGTAGAATATGGGAATGGGAAATCTTGTTTCAGACAAGTTTTTTTTTGTTGTTAGTTTGTTTGTTTTTGCAGTTTTGGCCGTGGCCGGGCTTGAACCCAACACCCTCAGTATATGGGGCCGGCGCCTTACTCCTTGAGCCACAGGCACCGCCCCCAGACAAGTTTTTTTGAGGATGCAAGAGAACTTTTAGGGGCTCACTGATGTACAGCAGCAAGAATGAGGAGTTTGTGGTTCCTCATGTACTTCTGAGTAGGCCATTTGCCCCCCTCCACTAATCAAAGAAAAGAATGTGCCTTGTTCTTCCCTGGGATACTGCCAGAGAAGGATTCCTGCGTTTGCTCTGTGATCCTGACATCAGCCAGGAACTGACACACTTTGATTTTTCTCAGGCAGCTGCAGTCTTATTTGGGGCCAGATGCTCAGTGTGGCTTATAAGGAATTAATCGATGAAACTTGTAGGTTGTGGGGTTAGCAGTTTTCTATTTTCCGGAGGCTAATTGGATGGTTTTGTTGCATTTACCAGTTTGCAAACTGTTCAGTTAAATTAACGGTTTTTTCTGCTGAAGTTTATTGTTAAAGCATTTAGTCCTAGATGAATTTAGCACCAAGCCCATCTTTGCTTGCATCCAACTTTGGTGAACCCATGTAAGTCAAGCTAGTGGCCCTTTGTGCTGAACACCAAATCAACCTAATAAAGTTGTGAAAATAAGAGACTAGAGGAATGGGTGGGCCTTTGTAAAATTGACAGAAGAGTTGTGTAGTAGTTGAGGACTATGGCAAAGAATCTCAGGCCAAGGATGTCATCGAAGAGGACTTCAAATGCAAGAAATGAACAAATAAAACTTTGGCTCATGAGGAAAAATAAAGAATTAATTGATGCAGAACAAACTCAGTGTTAGGATGATATCCAGCTTCAAAGAGGGGTGAAGAAACTTAACTGTGTATATGTGGAATGAGAGGGGTAGCAGACTGGCAGTAGTCTCCCAGGCTGTTATGCTGTGGGCAGAAGGCACAGGAACTTTCCTGGCCCAGTGGCTTTTCATTGACCTGATCCGTCTTTCCCTCCATCGCCATCAGACCGTGAACCAGCTGGCCCATGCCCTGCATCAGGACGAGCAGCTGCATGCCGGCAGCCTGGTGAGTGTCATGTGGCCCAACTCCAAGTGCCCCCTTCTGAAGGATGACCTCGTGCTGATGGACAGGTAAGGGGGAAGGTGCCCTCTTGGGAGGTTCTAACTGGGTGCCACCTAGTTTCTGTTTCTGAGTAACCTGGGCCAGCGCGCCCTGGGCACTGTCCTTGCTCTGCTTGAGCATTGCTGCCATTCAGAGGGGCCCAGCTCGGTCCTCCTAGGGTTGGTTACTATACTGCCCGTTGACATCAGTGCCTTGCAGGGGCCTAGGGACGGTCTGGAAGAGAGTGGAAGTTCTTGGCCTCCACCTGAGGGTGGCATGTGTACTGAGGCAGGAGCTGTGCTGGAATTGGTAGTGTGCTTCCCTCTTGAAGGAGAACACATTGCCCCTGCTTTGTGGACAGGTTGTAACTACCAAGAAATATAGGACTGTGGTGTTTGCCTGGACTCTCCTAAATACAAAACTCACCTTAATTGTATATTCCCAAAGCAAAATTATAAGTCATTAGGCTTTTATAAAAGTGATAGTTGTGTGTGTTTAAAAATCACATTTTCAGGCACTCTGGAAGGATGTGGAATGGAAAGTGAACTCCCCTAGTGAGGGCCGGGCCTCTTTTTTCTCCCCTCCCTGGCCTGGCTGCCATATGAATCCTGGATCTGTTCTCAGCGGGAAGAATAGGGCTCATGCTCTGTACCTGATGATGTTGGTTTTCCCCATCACCCCTAGCCCTGGTATTGATGTCACCACAGAGCTGGACAGCTGGATTGACAAGTTTTGCCTGGATGCTGATGTGTTTGTGCTGGTGGCCAACTCGGAGTCCACCCTGATGCAGACGGTAATGCCTCCTCTGCTTTCTCCCTATCTCCCAGCTCCTATCCTGGGCAGGTGGTGAGTGGGGTCTTGGCTCGCAAGTGTCTCCCCCTCCTGAGGTCCTGCCCTTTGTCTAGGAAAAGCAATTCTTCCACAAAGTGAGCGAACGCCTCTCCCGCCCAAACATCTTCATCCTGAACAACCGTTGGGACGCATCTGCCTCGGAACCCGAATACATGGAGGAGGTTAGTACCTCTGTGTGGCAGTTGGGGATGTCACCCTGCATGAATGCTGTCTACGGGGAGCTGCTGTGTGTACTTCCAGATCAAGTGACTTCCCTCAGTGGATTTTATCACCAAAGATTCCCAGATGGTCTTCTATGGTGTCTTTCAATGGCCCTAAAAACACTTCTCTCCCCTCTCCCACTCACATTCCTGGGTGGATTCCCTCCCAAGCAGCCTTCCCCCAGCTCTGCAGAGCGCCCCTACCACATTTAAGCATCTGTGAGTCCAGTGCTTAAAGAATTAATACAGAACAGGCTTGGCTTTAGGAAGCTATCCAGGAGAGGAGCTGGAAAGATAAAATACAACTCTTCATGTGTGTGAAATGAAAGAAAAAAGCACAACAAACCAGGCATGTTGGCACCTGCTGTAATTCCAGCTACTCTGGAGGCTGAGCTGGGAGGATGGCTTGAGCCCAGGAATGTTGTCTCAGCCTGGACAACATTAAAAAAGGAGGGGAGGGAGGGTAACAGATTGGCAATAGTGGACGACAGACATGCCGTCAGCAGGCCAGAGTCCACATTCTGGCTGTGCTGGGCGGTGAGACTTTGGGGAATTCCTTGACCCTTCTGTCAAGGGTCCAGTTTCTTCACCGTGTGATGGTGTAATAAATGACTTGTTGAGGGGATGAAATCTGTTCAAAGTGCCTGAGGCGTGGTAGGTGTCTATAAGAGGCCATTGCCAAGTTCTAGCAATAGAACCTGAGGATGTCAGTGCTGGAAGGGTTTTCTGCTGGCACCCATGCATTTTATAAACAAGTACAAGGTCTTGGCTTGTGAGGGCACAGTGCCCGGGCTTATGTTTCTTGACCCCCAGGTTCCTTGTGGGGTACCAAGGTGAACACTGTGGGTTCTAACAAGAGGCAGTAGGGCATGTTAAAACATATCTGCTGGTATACACGAATAAAACAGGTTCGGTGGGCTTTTTCCCAGAACACCCCCATGACATTGGGACATTGGTCTGGGAAGCGTGGTGGAGGCTAGAGAACAGAGATAATGGGAGATGTCTCCCTGTGTATGTTTGTATTTTTTTTTTTTTTTTGAGGCAGAGTCTCATTCTGTTGCCCCAGGGTAGAGTGCCATGGTATCATAGCTCATAGCAACCTCAAACTGGGCTCAAGCAGCCCTCCTAACAGATGCCCAGCATGATATCCAGCTAGTTTTTCTATTTTTAGTAGAGATGGGGTCTTGCTCTTGCTCAGGCTGGTGCTCAAGGGATCTGCCCACCTTGGCCTCCCAGAATGCTAGGATTGCAGGTGTGAGCCACTGTACTGAGCCAGATGTTTCTATCTTTTGACTATTGAGCCCTGTGAATCTATCACCTATTGTTTTAACAAAGGAGGCAGTTGGGGCCTAACCATAACCGCCTGCACCTAATCCGGTCACATCTATTTGGGCTCCAGGTTCGGCGGCAGCACATGGAGCGTTGCACCAGCTTCCTGGTGGACGAGCTGGGCGTGGTGGATCGGGCCCAGGCTGGGGACCGCATCTTCTTTGTATCTGCCAAGGAGGTGCTCAACGCCAGGATCCAGAAAGCCCAGGGCATGCCTGAAGGAGGTAATTATGGAAACACATGACCTCCTTTCCTTGATTGAGACATGTTCTCATGCCGAATCTGTCAGTAGAAAATCTCTTCTGAAAGTGAGATGGTGAGAGAAGCCTTCAGTTAAGAGGCGCTGCTCTCAGCCTGTGGGATGTTTTGGGGGAATTTCACCGTTTCTTCTACTGACTAATGCAGTGCAATCCTCCTAGGGGGTGCTCTTGCAGAAGGCTTTCAAGTGAGGATGTTTGAGTTTCAGAATTTCGAGAGGAGATTTGAGGTGAGTCCTTTGATTCTGGTCTGTAGGTTTTGTGTCTGCCCAGCTCTCCTTGTCTGTCCCTGACAGTGGAAACCAGAGGCTGGCCCTTGACCCTGAGCCCCAGATGGCCCCCACTTCCCTCGGTGCCTCTGTCTGTTCCAGGAGTGCATCTCCCAGTCTGCAGTGAAGACCAAGTTTGAGCAGCACACGGTCCGGGCCAAGCAGATCGCGGAGGCCGTCCGCCTCATCATGGACTCTCTGCACATAGCAGCTCAGGAGCAGCGGTAAGAGCCCAAGTGAGCTGGGCACAGGGGGCTACTGAGAGGAGAGGGGTGGGCCACCACCTGGACAGTTAGGATGGACATGCTTTGATGGCAGAGCTCAGTCTCTGAGCTCCTGATGGCAGACTATGTGAGTGCCATGTAGACAGCCTGTGGAGGAGGGCGGAGGTGCCTGAACACCCCACCAGGGCTGTGCAGTGTGGTCCCCTGTGTTGGAGGCAACAGTGTACACACCTGATAAGCTGCAGCCATTTTCAGAGCCTGAACATGGTTTTTAAAAATGGTGTTTGGGGGCGGCGCCTGTGGCTCAGTAGATAGGGCGCCAGCCCCATATACTGAGGGTGGCGGGTTCGAACCTGGCACCAGCCACACTGCAACAAAAAATAGCCAGGTGTTGTGGCGGGTGCCTATAATCTCAGCTACTCAGGAGGCTGAGGCAAGAGAATCACCTAAGCTGAAGAGTTGGAGGTTGCTGTGAACTGTGATGCCAGAGCACTCTATCGAGGGTGATGAAGTAAGACTCTGTCTCAAAAAAAAAAAAAAAAGAAAGAAAAAGAAAATAAAATGGTGTTTTGGGGGGAGAAATTGAAAATATAGAAAAGTACAGAGAGTAATGTGAAAATACCTTCCTTCTACCACACAGAATTGACAAGTGACGTTTTCTTTATGTTAAATGAAAATATATTTAAGTGCCCTTTGATTCTTTATCCCTGTCCCAGTGTCACTCTACCCTCTCCTTAGAGATGCTGTGATCATGAATTTATATAATCCTGTCAACCATTTCAAAAGTACCTCTTGGCTCGGCGCCTATAGCTCAACCGGCTAAGGCGCCAGCCACGTACACCTAAGGTGGCGGGTTCGAATCCCCAGCCCGGACCCGCCAAACAA